ACGCCTGCGCATATTTCGTCTATGCACTGATTGGTCCGCTGGATCTGGTTTGTTTAATTGTATCTCATTAATCCAGTAGCGTTGTTAGTTATTGTAATTACTTAGTTATTTAGATCGAGATTCCTATATGCTTGTCAGGCTGTCAAGGTGCTGAGCTTCGCTTTGCTGAATAAACCGTTTGTCCCCGAAGGACCGAGTTCTGCAACATGGTGTCAGAAAAACCGAGCCACGATCACCCAATGGTGCTCATTTGCTGATTGGAGCGCAACCAACTGTGCAACCGCCCGACCCACTAAACATGGAAGAACAGAATTTGGCCAACAATTGGAGAATCTGGAAAAATAAGGTGGTCGATTTCTATGTACTGGTGCGGCTGAATGAACAACCGATGGCGTATCGCTTGACGATGGGTAGACATGCGATCGGTGCTGAAGCATGCCGCTCCTTGGAAATAATGACATATGCAAGGGACGAAAGCCCAATTAAGCTGGATACTGTCGTCCGAAAATTCGGTGATTTCTGCGAAGGCCAGTCTAACGAGCCGTATCAGTGGTATCTCTTTCAGACCCGAAACAGGCGCCAAAACGAATCTATCGAGAACTATGTTACGGAGCTGAAGATCCTGGCTCGTTCCTGTAACTTGCAATTGCATGGCTGACAGTCCCATCCGAGATAGAGTGGTGCTGGGGCTCAATGATGAGTACATCAAGAGGCTGTTGCGGCAACGACAGTTATCGTATAGACAACGTCTTGATACATGCCACAGAGCATCATCAACTGCACACCACATCCAACAAATGCGGCTATCGGCTGAAGCAGAGCTATGTGCCGTATCCAGCTTACCTGACAAAACTAGGAAGCCGGTTATCAAGACACACGAAACTTGCAAACTGTGCGCCGCGCGACACCCAAAGGATGGCGATCGATGTCCGGCGTGGGACCGAATTTGCGCCAGATGCAGCAGACGCAATCATTTCGCTCGATGTCAGCCTTCGAAGGTGATTGCACTCAATCGTGAAACCACGCCCTCCGACTCTGAACATTCTATCCGCAACGTGTCGCGGACAGAACCAAGGAAGTGCGTCTATGCAACTTTATTGGTTGGTGACGAAAGGTTGCGTTTTCAGTTGGACTCGGTTGCCACATAAACATAATTCCAGCGAAGCGGTGCCCAGGAATTCGTGTGCGACCTGATCAGGGAGTGCTGCACATGTGGACGGGGTCCAAGCTCCAGCCGAAAGGTTTGACCACAATCAAAGTGATTAATCTAAAACACGGCTCTTCACATCAGTTGGAATTCGTGATCGTGGAGGAAGGGCTCACACCGATTCTCGGCATTGATTCCATCCAATGTCTTGGCTTTGCTAATTTACCCATGACCGTTTTGTTCATGTATGTGAAACGGGGACAGATGTTAATGAACAGTATCCGTCCGTGTTTAACCCATGTTTGGGGACTCAACATCTTGGAAAATATTTGGAACCGATAGAGGTCATGATTTCAGAAAGGTTTGAAAACAACCGGTTGGTATAGTTTGTGGCAGATCAGAAACGGTATTACTGCCGTGGGACCTGGGCGCTACTGGAGCTCTCAGTACATGATGAAGTGTGGATCCAACAAATACTGGGTGTCAACGAACGATGGAAGAAAGGTTTGATGACCACGAAGGTTGGAGCAAGATCTTATGAAATCAGTACCGGAGGGAAGGTAATAAGTAGGAACCGAGTGTAGCTGTCACCGCACCGGGAACGAGAAGGTGGACCTGCAGCAAAACACTTGACGCCTTACGGAGAGGTCACAACGACAGAAGCAGCAAAGACGATGCGGAGCGGAAGAGCGTACGAAGTCTCCTGCGATGCCGAAGCAACTGAACCCGAAAAAAGGAAGGATGTGATAGGATTGTGCAAACAAGTGGCTAGTGTGCCACAAACAAACAGAGCAGTCGATTGGACGCCTGCGCATATTTCATCTACGCGCTGATTGGTTCGCTGGAGCTGGTTTGTTTAACTGATTCAGAGGAGGTATCTCATTAATCCAGTAGCGTCGTTAGTTATTGTAATGACAGTTAGTAAGATCGAGATTCCTACATGCTTGTCAGGCTGTCAATTTGCTGAGCTTCGCTTTGCTGAATAAACAGACATATTAGAATTTTTAAGACTACTACTACTACTACTACTACTACTACTACTACTACTACTACTACTACTACTACTACTACTACTACTACTACTACTACTACTACTACTACTACTACTACTACTACTACTACTACTACTACTACTACTACTACTACTACTACTACTACTACTACTACTACTACTACTACTACTACTACTACTACTACTACTACTACTACTACTACTACTACTACTACTACTACTACTACTACTACTACTACTACTACTACTACTACTACTACTACTACTACTACTACTACTACTACTACTACTACTACTACTACTACTACTACTACTACTACTACTACTACTACTACTACTACTACTACTACTACTACTACTACTACTACTACTACTACTACTACTACTACTACTACTACTACTACTACTACTACTACTACTACTACTACTACTACTACTACTACTACTACTACTACTACTACTACTACTACTACTACTACTACTACTACTACTACTACTACTACTACTACTACTACTACTACTACTACTACTACTACTACTACTACTACTACTACTACTACTACTACTACTACTACTACTACTACTACTACTACTACTACTACTACTACTACTACTACTACTACTACTACTACTACTACTACTACTACTACTACTACTACTACTACTACTACTACTACTACTACTACTACTACTACTACTACTACTACTACTACTACTACTACTACTACTACTACTACTACTACTACTACTACTACTACTACTACTACTACTACTACTACTACTACTACTACTACTACTACTACTACTACTACTACTACTACTACTACTACTACTACTACTACTACTACTACTACTACTACTACTACTACTACTACTACTACTACTACTACTACTACTACTACTACTACTACTACTACTACTACTACTACTACTACTACTACTACTACTACTACTACTACTACTACTACTACTACTACTACTACTATACTACTACTACTACTACTACTACTACTACTACTACTACTACTACTACTACTACTACTACTACTACTACTACTACTACTACTACTACTACTACTACTACTACTACTACTACTACTACTACTACTACTACTACTACTACTACTACTACTACTACTACTACTACTACTACTACTACTACTACTACTACTACTACTACTACTACTACTACTACTACTACTACTACTACTACTACTACTACTACTACTACTACTACTACTACTACTACTACTACTACTACTACTACTACTACTACTACTACTACTACTACTACTACTACTACTACTACTACTACTACTACTACTACTACTACTACTACTACTACTACTACTACTACTACTACTACTACTACTACTACTACTACTACTACTACTACTACTACTACTACTACTACTACTACTACTACTACTACTACTACTACTACTACTACTACTACTACTACTACTACTACTACTACTACTACTACTACTACTACTACTACTACTACTACTACTACTACTACTACTACTACTACTACTACTACTACTACTACTACTACTACTACTACTACTACTACTACTACTACTACTACTAGCCATCTTCGACTCAGTCGATTTTGTCAGGGAGAACTGCGTTCCATTCTGAAGTCCAGACTGAAAGTTTTGAGGCTGCCTACGTGCGTACGGGAAACTGTCTCCTGATATCTGCATGAGAAGTCGGGTTATTTAACTTTGTGGTCGAAAAACCATCATGGATTCTGTAATCTCAGCTTTTGCTGCCACGTGACTGACTGATAAACCTTAAGCATGTGAACGACACAACTCTCGTTGAGTTGGAATCAGCGGCCATTTAAGCACTACTGGATAGACTGATGCGTAATGCTGCATGTTTTAGCGCGGAGCTCTGCACCTTCATAGTGCAAAGTTTTGTCGAAGCACTGAGCTTACACACCACCGCTTCTGGCTATCAGCGAGCAGCCATTTCCAGTGGTCGATCGGTTCACTTATCTCGATAGTTGTGTCCCCTCTGGTGACCACATTACTGGGGAGGCCAGTTCACGCATCATCGAAGCCCGTGAGGCATTTCAAATGCTTCAGCATCTAGAGACGATGAGGTATCTGCCAGTGATTCAAGGGTAGGGAGTTTAATACTGCGATAGGACCGGTGTTATCGCGTGAATCAGAGACTTGGCCAGCTCGGACGGGAAACATTAAGAGATTCGTTGTTTGATCACCGATGCTTGTGGAGTATTGCGCAAAACGGATGGGAACATCAAGCGAGCAATGCTGAGGTCCGCCAGTTGGTTTGGTGAAAAACGCTCGATTAGACATAACCAGCATTCTCCGTAGGTGCATAGCAACCATTTGCTAGCTGAACTATTTTCCTGATATTGTAGTATTATGGCAGCAAAGCCAAATTGCATCCGGTGTTGGTAAAACAAGTAATGCGGAAAAAGGTTGTCATTTATGACTAAAATTGCACTACGCAGCATCTTGTCCCCAGACAAAAGAGAATTGTCTGTTTATAACAACAGTCTTATATGTGTGCAAAAAGCTGAACAACATTCTGTTATCTCATCTAGAAGCCTTGTCAAAATAACAGACAATCCAAAGGTGAAAAAATCGTGCAGGAGGCATATGTATAGCATACAACGCAGGTATGAACACTTTAAGGGGGGATTCAATACAGCTGGTAGAAATAGTGAGCAGGAGTTATAGAATACGGACTCTAATCAGCAGCAGACAAGATGACCGAAGCGCACTTATAAAGCAGCGTAATGGGAATGGAAAAAAACATGCAGTATGACGCCCAGATGGAAGAATGGACGCTGTGCACGTCCAGTTAGCCAGATGTATCACCATCTTCTCGTGGCCGATGGACACCGGATGGGATGTCACGCAGAATCTCGGGACCCAACAAACCTGGACGTATCTCTTTGGGCAAGGGGTCTTTTTCATCATAATGCATAAGCATGTCTCGGTCAGTCGGACAAGAAAAAAGGAACACTTCAGATTGATACATACGACTGATATACTCCCAAACATATGATAGGTCTTCGGGAATGTCAAACTGTTTATAAGCACCACCGGCAACACGAATGTGCTGCAGCTTAGGCATCAACTGACAATCTACATAGGAAATTTGGTCACCTAGCATATAATGGCCTGGGCTGGAGGCCAAGTACTCATTTAAATTTTTTAAGCCAACCAAGAGCCGTTTGCTGTTGTTGTTCTTGATATAGTGCATTAAGTCCGAGTATAGATCTTGCGAAATACGTTCAGCCGCCCGTACATCCTCTTCTTTAAGAGATGGATCCAAATTCGCACACCCTAATTTCGCCATGAGTACCTCCAAACCACCGGAGGATGAAATGACTGTGCCCTTTGCATCTGCGCCGTTTAACTGACCAGATTCGATCCAAGCGATGGGAAGAAGGCGTGCACTACCAAGACTTTTGTAATTCGCCGGAGGGTTGTCGAAGCTAGTCGGAACGATGCGCAGGTGAATCAAATGCTTCTGTTCTAGCATGCGAAGTACCATAATCCACTGTTGCCCAACCAGTCCGGGTTCTCGATCAGATCGACTTGATGGTGCGGCTCTAACAAAGAGCTCTATGACGGGCACAGAGTCGTCAGACATAGGCTGAAAGGTAAATGATGGGACGTTCAGTTAGCGTATCGAAAGGTACACTCAAACTTGACAAAACAGTAATGAAACTAAACCATGCATATGGAACGTTTGAATGAAACAGATAAAAAACGACAAAACAGTGAAATGCAATCTATAAAATGAATAGGCACACAAGAAATGCATCGGAGAATAGTAATCCAGGCTAAGACTAGGATGCCGAAACACTTCCAGTACGCTAGAAGTTGCGACTCATCGTAAGGCACCTTTAACTGATAACGGATCGCTTCAAGAGAAAATATGAAGTACACATCGAAACAGTAAGCTACGCTGAAACCAATTTCCATGAAGACTTGTGAGATAGAGTGCAATCAAACGGTACATGCCGGACTGATCCATGGATTCTCAAGTGAGGGTACACGAAGAGTGAAAAACCCTATCACGATGAATCATATTGAGACGAAATTTGACATATCGCATAACTCGGCAACTCTCTAAACTAGGTTGGCGAAATGTAATGACATACTGGTAAATGCAATCATATGTGAGGGAGAATATAAACCAAGAAACGGTAGATTTCCATCACGACGGGACTATGGTACATACTTCCATGGAGTCGAGCGGAGTAATTACTGAGACCCGATTGCCAAAAACCAAGGTGTTTCACTTGTAATTAAGCCTTAAAAAAACGGACTTCGTTACGTTGACGAGTCGAGAAAAGTAAACCGAGGGCATTCTAACGCGTTTTGCTTCCGTCAGTTGTTTGTTTATCGCCCTAGAGCTCCTGAGTTCAATGGCGAATATGCAGCTGTTCATAGGGACTAAACACCATAAATGTCGCGGTAGACGGATCCGCGATCACCGGAAAAGCGGATCAAGCAAGTCCCGTCATTGGGCCAATGAAATAACAAGCGCAGTCGAATTAGTATTTCTGTCATGTAAAGAGCATCAGCTGTATGCCGGTACACCGTGCCGACGTTTCGATGCAACGCGGCCACCAACAGTCACGCGAGGGTTGGGTATACCCCCAGGGTCACCCGCATCCACGCGGATTGGAATCAGTGTCATCTGCATTACAAGACAAACGTGTAGTACTTTCGTCCACCGGCCGATTTCCGATCACGACGAGACTGCACGTTAATGTGATGCGATGGTCTGTGTGCCTCGGTGCTCCGTCGAGCTATGCTGGGTGGTGTTTCTCGCATCTTCAGAGTCATTCTTGCAAGGTTGATCAACGCCTAGTTAGACAAAATCAATCTCCTGACCCTTCAGGTTAAGGGCTGCAATGAGGGTCGCACTTTAGACCTTAAAACGGACTCCTTGTAGCTCATTGCCAAACATGCTGCCTTGCGGTCAAGTTTTCGAACCATAGACTTTGGATGGGAACTCTAATCGTTCTACTGTCTAGGCCTGGCCAAACTGACAGCATCAAGCCCACACAAGACAAAAACCAGATCTCTAAACAACTTCTTGAAGCTCTAGTCGTCACAAATGATAATCAATGGTGCCCCATCTGCTGCATCAAGCAAGATGGATAAAAGTGACGATGTTGCTATTCAAACCTTCCCGTCTTCTTATTCCTCCTCTTATGCCTTCCAACTTTACTTGTATACCTCATGTTTTCTACCCCTTATCAATTTTCGGTCTCCTCTCATGTATCTTTGATAGGCATCTTCTAGTTTCAATCCATACGCAATCAGAGGACGTCGCTCCGGTCCAGTCGATAATTCCAAGTTCAACCAAACGGACGTCAGTTCATCCATTTCTATTCGGATCCCACAATCCTCGCTAAAACGGACATGCCTCAACATGCGCAATTTGGTGCCAACCGGTCAACAGAAGGCACTATTTAGAACACTAGAGACTGTATCGGCCGATAACTGCTGTTTATCGGGAACCTGCTTGCGAAATTTGAGCTCTGTGCTAACCATGCGATCTCCCACACGCTACAGTGGCGACACTTTCTCACTAAACTTGTCCTGAGATGATAGCTTCAAATGACAACCAAGTCGGTGTGGACATTGTCCTGAATCTTCAGATTGAAGCTGCTCTGATCGACTGGATCCCCGTCAACCGTCGGATTTGCGCTTTCAAAGCTTCGAAGTCGCACAGAGACAAACGGTGCCTATTTGTCATTGCTGCATTTGCCCCCAAAAACTGTAGCACTGACTCGGTGAAAAAAAGCATCTATCACCAAATGAACGACCTTGGTCACCAAAAAGTACGGCTACTATGATTTTTGCTGATTATTTGAACGCCAGAGTTGAACTATTCATAGATGAGCCGCATTTAGGCGGCCAACACGATGTAGGCTCCTTTAATGATAACAGTGAGTGGTTGCTACACTCTTTGAAGATGCTCGTCTATTTCTCGCGGGCACTACTGACACAGCACTCGCAGTAGAGTGACATGGCGCCCACCAGCTTCGGAACAGTCATGAACGCAAATCGATCACATCGCGATCAGTTACCGCTTTAGATCCTATGTCCAAAACTGTCGCGCAATTTGGAGAAAGAGCGTGGACTTCGACCACGCAATTGTATGTGCCGACCGGTGGATTCGTCCGTAAAGGCTCTGTGAGAGCATAGATTCTTACCAACTGGCGAAGCTAGACGCACTGAATGCGTATCGCAGTGCGCTGACATGCGGATTTAGTAATCGCTCACTGAACAGAGCTGAAGACCGCTGGTCGCATATCCACGAGAGGTTATTAGCAGCAAGCATGTCTTCATGTGACAAATTGAATTGCGACCCAAAACATAGGGTTGTTATGCAGTCGCTGGAACTTCTGGATGCTCGCCGACGCGTTGCGGCTGGAAGTGAATATAATCAGATTGGCAAAGACCTCAGGGACAAACAATGTGCTAGCCTGAAGAGGGACAGCAAAGAAGGCCTGGAGACAGCAACTGTCCTTGGTAGACTTCTCAAGTTTATCTGTCTGATACTGAAACGAGTAGAAGGAAACCTGGTGTTAGCGACGAGAGCAGACAGCCAACCCACAGCTTGCCAAAACTCTTGGAACAGTGGGTCGAACACTTTGAGAAGCGGTATAACCAGCCAGAATTATCATCTTTCATATCAGCCATTGATCACCTTCCTCCTTGGCCCATCCGCAAGGATCCGCCCTCATGCAAAGAAGTCGAACGTGAGATCAGACGGTTGAAATTGAACAAGACCGCCGAGGCGGATGGACATCATCAAGTCCTTTTCAAATTCGGAGAACCTGCTCAGGTGGATGATTAGCATAATTTACTAGTGAAGCTGTGGGAGCAGGAGATTATTGTAACAGAGTGGAACCGGCCCGTTATAGTCGCAATTTTCTAGGAAGACTCGCCACGAATGTGGTAATTATAGAGTAATCAGCCTGATCACAATTGCCTCTAAGTTACTTGTCTTTGTCGTCCCTCATAGACTGACTTGCGCCTGTGAAGGACAGATAGGCGAGGAGCAAACCGGGTTTAGTCGAAATACAGGCCGCATTGACCACGTCTGGTTGGATACAGTTGACAGGGCAAAGAACAGAATTCAACGGTTTTTGTGTCGTTTCTTTGTCCCTCTCCTCCCGCTTATCTTCCTCCTCTAACCACGATGTCACGCCCATTGTACAATATGATACTTAGCATGTATCTGTTTGCAGTTTTGTGTCCTTTAAGGTTTTGTACCTTGAAATTTTTCTGTAGTTTATCTTTTTGCATTGCGGCATAATAGGTTAAGTGTTTCTCAGCCTCAACTAATATGTTGCAATGATGATGATGAGCGGCCAACTGTTATCGTGTAAGCGTGTTACGATACAGTAAACGTCAACTCAGAGAGTGTGTAATGTCATGGTAAATGTCAGCTGTATACGGATTTGATGACATGTAAACATTGAAAAAAATGAAATGAAAATGAAATGTGTCAGCTTATACGCCGTAACGGCGCTTCGCTGCCACGCGACCCCCACCAGTCGCGCGCGGGCTGAGTATACCGCGAGGACGCCCACCCCTACGCGGATTCGAATCGGCGACCTTATGGTTGGAAAGCAAACGTGCCAACCACTCGGCCACCGGCCGACATTGAAAAGCCAAATGTGGAATGGTGTGACTGATGTTGATTAACACGAGGAGAAAACTGAGAAAAGGAACACAAGAAGAGACCAGTGAAAACAATGTTTTGCGGATTAATGGCATCCAACGGTTGCCGTTTCCGAGGGTATGTCTCACAGAGTGGTGAGATATGTCCCAGATCGGGAACCTGGCTGCATAATCGCACTTAGGTCCGCTTGAGGACGGCCACACATAGTATTAGTAGATCCGGACCTAGTTCTGTATATTTTCGACCATCGTAAATTATATATCCGCGGCCCCAGCCAACCACATATGGGTTTTGGTGGAGATGAAACTTAGAGTAGCCGCTGCCTGGTTTGAGAAACGCATTGGGAGACCAGTAAGCGAATCACTCAACGTCAATGGAACCAAGCTGACAATTTGAAACGCGAATCTCAATCTTCAACGCAGATGATGCCGAAACTGAATTTGTCTGAACAGCATCACCTAAAAAATCCCAAAATGCCATAAATGTACACAAGCTATCGCAGCAAAACAACATCTAGATCTGGAAGTCAACTAAATTGTTGGTGAAACTGTCATGTCCAAGAGGTAAAACGAAAGTTTGTTGCGAGCAAAGGTGCCACTTTCCAAGCAGATTGGTACCCAACAGTGTGGCTTCTTGGGATAGGTAGCTGAGGCGATTCGCAGTGCGATGGTCATGGGAATATGCCACATCGCAGTTGACAATAAGGATGGTACGATAGGACTTGCGAATTCTGGTCCAATTGAACGTTGAAATATATATAGAAATCCTGATAACAATAATCAGTCCGGGTCACGACATCAAGTCCTTGGCCCGCGCGAGGAAGTTGTCAGTTCCAAGATGTGCGGTGTATATCATCTTCAGCATGGTGCATCCGGTGTCAACCGAGAGATACAGCGCTTCCTTGAATAAAAGGGCGCTAATTATATAACTGTGTGCAA